TTATCCAGTTGGAGTAGTACAGGGTATTACAATTTTATTGGGACATTGTATATAGGAAAGTTTGTTTTAAATGGTGGAAATCACTCTGTCTCTGTTCAGAAGAAAATTGGTAATTCATTTTGGAGAATTTATGATGGGAATGATAAAGAATTTGGTCATGCGGTGGTGTGGTCTTTTACGGTGTTTTTTTCTTTTAGAGGTTTAAGAAGAAAGAGGATAAGAAAAGAATCTATGTGCTTGGTCTGGAGAATGAGGTTATGGCCTTTGGAACAGAAATGGGATATATACATTATGCGGGTTTGGGATTCTAAAGATTTCAATACCAATATTTTTTTTGGATGTGATGCCGTTGGTGAAGGTTTAACAATGTATCGGGATATGAAAGGATGGACGCGTGTTTGTACGATCAGAACCTGTCATCAAGGGTTTATGAATTTTTCTTTTACATATTTTATTTTATGAGTATTTTAAGTTGGAATTGTCGCGGTGCGGGTGGTTCGGATACGGTTCAACGTATTCGGGATTTACGACGTCAATATTTTCCAGATTTTTTATTTCTTATGGAGACTAAACAAAAAGTTGCTTATATGGACGCCTTAAAATCAAGTTTAGGATACGACTGTTTACATACGGTTGAGCCCATTGGCCGTAGTGGTGGCTTGGCTTTAATGTGGAAAAATTGTTACATAGTAGACATTATTTTTAGTAATAACAGGTTGATTGACCTAAAAGTGACATTAGGGTCTCTTGTTTTTTTCCTTTCTTGTGTATATGGGGATCCGGTAAGAGGACAAAGACGATATGTCTGGGAAAAGCTTACGGATATAGGTGTAGCTAGAGATGAGACATGGTTTTTGGTTGGTGATTTTAATGAACTAATGCATAATGGGGAAAAATTAGGAGGGGCTATTAGGGATGAATCCACATTTTTTGATTTCCGGAACATGGCGGAGGCCTGTAAAATTAGGGAGACGAGGACCACGGGGAATACTCTCTCCTGGGCAGGCATGAGGGACCATCATTGGGTGCAATGTCAATTGGATAGGAGTTTGGGAATGATGAATGGTTTCGTCTATTTCCACGATCTTCTACTGATTATTTAAGTATGTGGCCTTCAGACCATCGACCTTTACGTGTACAGTTCGCCCTAGAACCTGAGAATTTACAAAGAGGAAGGTTTTATTTTGATAGACGTATGTATGGCAAAAGAGGGGTCGAGGAAGCCATTGTTCGTGGGTGGGACGAAGAGAATGATCATCCCAACCTAAGTATTCTGGATCGTATTGCCCGGTGTCGATCCGAATTATCAAAGCTTAAAAGGACTAATGACTGGAATTCTAAATCAAGAATATAACGGTTACAGTCAGAATTAGACAGAGAAAGCTCGAAGCAATTTCCCATTCTCGGTTTAATGAGACGGTTAAGACAGGATTTAGCTACGGCATATAGGGAGGAGGAAATCTTTTGGAGGCAAAAGAGTAGAGAAGAATGGTTACGTGAAGGAGATAGAAACACTACGTATTTTCATAATGTGGTAAAAGGGAAAAAAATGAGAAACAAGATTCTTATGTTAAAGGATATTTTTGGTAATGAAAACTATTCTGAGGGTTCTAAAGGACATATCGCTACAGAATATTTTAGAGATTTGTTTACCAGTTCCAACCCGAATGATTTAGAAACTTTGTTTGGGGGTTTTGCTAGTAGAGTTACCCCAGAGATGAACATGGTTCTAACCAGTGAGGTCTCTCCAGAGGAAATTAAGAAAGCAGCATTTGGTATTAAAGGTAGTAGTGCCCCTGGAGAAGATGGTCTTACTGGTTTTTTCTACCAAAAATACTGGCATATCGTAGGGCAGAAAATTATTGATGAGGTTCAAGGTTTTTTTAAAACAGGCCTCCTTCCTGCTGGGTGGAATCATACATCCATCGGAAATGAAGGATATGCGGCCCATTAGTCTTTGCAGTGTCCAATATAAAATAATCTCTCGTATTCTTTGTGATCGCTTAAAGGGGGTTTTGCCTGATATAATATCAGAGACTCAAGGAGCCTTTGTGGGGGGCAGATTAATTACAGATAATGTCATCATAGCGCATGAATTGGTACATGGACTGCGAACCAATGATAAAATTGGTAAAGAAAGTATGGCTATTAAGACTGATATGTCAAAGGCCTATGACCGGGTTGAATGGAACTTTCTTGAAGTTTTATTAGAAAAAATGGGATTTGATCGTAAATGGGTCGTTTGGATAATGTCATGTATTACTACGGTTACTTTTTCGGTGTTACTTAATGGTCGCTCTCATGGTTTCATCAAACCAGAACGGGGAATTCGTCAGGGGGATCCCTTATCACCTTTTCTTTTCATTCTATGTGCCGAAGCTTTAGTCCATGTGTTAAATCGAGCGGAGGCACAAGGTAAATTACATGGTATCAAGTTAGCTACGGGGAGCCCTTCGGTTCACCATTTGTTGTTTGCTGATGATAGCTTGTTGTTATGTGAAGCTTCCCTCAGGGATAGTGAAGAAATTATGAAAGGGTTAAAACTTTATGGAGATGCGTCTGGTCAAATGATAAACCCTTTAAAGTCTTCCATCATTTTTGGGAAAAACATTGCTGACGGGACCAAAACTGCTATAAAAGATGTTTTGGGTATAGAAAAAGAAGGTGGAGAGGGTTCATATCTTGGCCTTCCTGAGTGTTTTCAAGGTTCGAAAAAAGATCTCTTAAATTTTATTAAAGAAAAACTCGAAGGACGGTTACAAGGGTGGTATTCTAAGACTCTTTCGATGGGTGCCAAGGAAGTGTTGATAAAATCAGTTGCTTTAGCTCTTCCAATATATGCAATGTCAGTTTTCCGGTTACCAAAAGGTCTTTGCGAAAGAATTACGAGTGCGATTATTGAGTTTTGGTGGAGTAGTGGAGATAGAAAGAGAAAGATCTCATGGGTTTCATGGGAAAAATTATGTAAACCCAAAGAACATGGGGGCCTTGCGTTTCATGACATTGGCCGTTTCAATCAAGCTTTGCTCGGGAAACAGGCTTGGCGAATTTGGCATAACCCTGAATCTTTAGTTTCTAGAATTTTAAAAGGAAAATATTTCAAAAATGGTAATTTTCTTGACTGTGGAATAGGGACACGCCCATCATATGCATGGAGGAGTATCATGCATGGTAGGGAATTGCTCAAAAAGGGATTATATCGCCATATTGGCAATGGGGCTAACTCTAATGTATGGGCTGAAAACTGGATTATTGATACTATTCCCCGTCCTCCAATGTATCGTGACGGTAGCCCAATAAATCTAGCGCTAAAGGTTTCAGATTTATTCATGCAGGGGTCAAATCAATGGGATATTAATCTACTGCATCAGACCTTTACACCACAGGATGTTCAAAGGATTTTACTTCTAAAACCTTCATTGGTAATTGAAGATTCGATTAAATGGGGATTTACACCAAATGGGGTATATTCCACTCGTAGTGGGTATAAGTTGTTGGAGGCATTGGTAGGTTTTGAGCACCCTGATGGAAACAATATCACTCCTAATGAAAAACAATTGTGGCGTGACCTGTGGAAGATAAAAGCTCCACCAAAGATTAAACACTTTTTATGGCGGGCTTTATCTGGTGCGTTAGCTGTCAGGCAACGTTTGACTACACGGGGTATCCCAATTGATCCAGCATGTCCAGTTTGTGGTCTTGGTGATGAAACTATCTGCCATGTTCTTTTTACTTGTGATAAAGCACGTGCCACTTGGGCACAGTCTAATTTTCCGCTACCCTTAGGAGGTTTCTCTCGGACTTCAATTTTCTTCAATTTTGTGCACCTGATCAGGATGTCAAGGAGCTTAGGTACGGATATACACACTAGTAAAGTGTTCCCATGGTTGTTATGGGAGATTCGGAAAGCTAGGAATGCTTTTGTATTTGAAACCAAGGTTCTCGAGTCTTCGTTTATTGCTAAGAAGGCCTATGAAGAAGAATCAACATGGTTCGATACCTTCACAGGATCGAGAGATGGTTTGGATACAGTGAACACGTGTATAAAAACATGGAAAAAACCGATTTCTGGCTTCCTTAAATGTAATGTTGGATCCTCATGGGTAAATTCAAGTCACCTAAGTGGTGCTTCATGGATTTTACGTGACAAAAATGGTTGTACAATTATGCATAGTCGCCGATCATATTCCTATATGCGCTCAAAAACGGAGGCTGACCTGTGGGCTCTCTTTTGGGCGGTTGAATGCTTGCAAAATTTACATTTCTCCAATATTATATTTGAAACTTCCTCGGAGAGCCTTCGTACCGTTCTTATACAGCCTGATAATCACTCAAATTTCAGCATTCTCCGCCACAATATCTCTTTCCTTCTAGCAAGGATAAATTCATGGAGTCTGGAGCACGTTCTTCCTGAACGCAATGAAGCTGCCGCGGCTATTGCCTTAAGTGTCACTCGTGACCTGCGTCAGCAATCATATATCGCCCGACATGCTCCGGTGTGGCTCCACCATTTGCTCGCTCTGGAAGCTCAGCAGTAAGAGTTTTGGTGAGATCTTTCCCATTTCCTTTTGGTGTCTAATGACATCCCTATGTTTCCCTGTTGCATTTCTCTTTTGTTATGTATTTCTTTGAACTTATTTCAGTTACAAGTGTTATAAAAAAAAAAAGTTACGTATGGCTCTAACATTGTAGGCTAGCTTTGATATAATTTGAAGTAGTAGTCGAAAAAAGGGACATTTCCAAGCAAACGACTGCGTTTAGCCAATTGATGGTGTTAGACTCAAAACGACATCGATTAGAGTGATCCAGAGTCCCACACTCGGAGCGTCAGAATAGCCGTTAAGAGACGAGGTAAAATAAGAAAAGAAAAAATTGGCCGTTAAGAGAAAGAGTCTCTGCTCCACATTCGAAAAGCTTCTCACCGTTCCTATTTAACAACAAACCTTCTTCTCTTCAGATTCTCCAACTCTCCCTCTCTCTGGTAGTTTTTCGCCGGATTTATGGATACGACGACGACGGAGGAGCGAACCGCCGGTTCCTTGACGACGACGACGAAAGATGAGAGTTATGAGTTCACGGCGCCACAGTGGTACGATCTCGAAACGGAAGAGACGAAATGCGATAAACAACGATCGGAGCTCTGGTTCGAATCAGCTACAAGTTACGCTTCTTCTCGTACGTTTTTGAATTACGTTCAAGGCTTTTGTTCTACTTGCTCTCAGTCGGTAAACTAGGAGGAGCTTAGGGTTTCGTTATTTCTATATCTGAGCAGCAAGAAGAAGAAAAAATGAGAATCGATTATAAATTTCGAGGAATTAAATGCTGAATCGTATTTGGTTAAATCCGTGATATACCACTTCGTTTTAGTTTCTATCAGTCATCTCAGAATCAAGCAGATTCATATTTGTTTAATATACGTCGTTTGTTGTGTTTGTAGTGAGGAGATCATTTAAGGTTGAGAGCATGTGCAACTTCAGCCAAGTAGAAGAATCAACTCAGTTGAAAGTAATAGTTTCGGTTTCGTGACTAAGAAGAGTAGAATACTTGAATTAACTCAAGTATTGCTTTCCCTCTCTGTGTAGGCTAAAGGATCATCTGATGAACAAAACAAACAAGGAGAATGCTCATTTAATGTATCAAATAAGAACGAGAAGAATCAGAGCAACAACTATAGCACAGATACTCAAGAATGTGACAGGTTATTTACAGCTTCAAGATATTATTTTATCACTGGTTAAGTGACGGGTGAGTAGTAACACACATTTTGTTTATATTGTTCATTCCCACAGTTTCCAGGACGAGCAGGGAGATAACAAGGAGAACATTCCTCCATCACAATCTGGAGTATCTATAGTGACCAACACTACGATGCATCTAAATTCTATAAAGAATCGGTCTGTGCTGATGCCGATTAAACAGCCACAGTCGTCACAGGCCAGAGGCACTAATCAGAAAACCATAAAGAGGTCGATTTCATTGTTTGTGATTTGGTTTTCACGCTCTTGAATTTTGATAGGTAGATGTTTTTGTGTTGATGGCTCCTCGTGGCAGGGAAACGAGTGTTAAAAAGTTAGTTGGAACGTCCAATCTGGTCCAGGAAAATCAAGCCATCAAAAGGCAAAAGCTTGATGCTGGTAAATCTAGAAAGGTGAGTCAACTTAAGCTGCAGTACTTATTTCACTAGCTCGCTGCTATATGTTTACCTGACCATGTTATTTTACTAGATTCTCAATCCAAAACCAACGACTTTGCCTCACAAGACAACACAAGGTCTTGTTAACACGAGGTTCAACTTATGCCCTTCAGTCACTAAGAAAACCAGGACAGAGAACAGAAAGGTGCATTGTGTTTCCGAGATCATGTGATCAAAACCTGGAAAAGTTGTGTTTTAACTGTTGCTTATTCATTTTTAAGGTTTATGTCCGGGAGAAAGTTACTCCATTTGTATCAACTGCTGAATTGATGAAGAAGTTCGAAACAAGTACAAGGGACTTGTCACTGCCTCATGTCAAGAACCAGCCTAGAACGATGACACTTACAAGGCTGAACGAACCAGAGTTTGCGACATCTCAGCGAACTCGTCCTGTGAGACTTAAAAGCACTTCAGAGCTTGAGGAGGAGATGATGGCAAAGATACCTAAGTTTAAAGCACGACCTATGAATAAGAAGGTGATAATGCGCGGCTTTCACTCTCAGTATCTTTCTTCAGTAACTACTAGTTTCTGTAGTTTAAACAACAGAACTGTACTAAAAGATAAAGCCTGAAAACTAATATTGCACTTCTTCTCTAATTGACACAGATCTTAGAAGCTCCAGCTTTGCCCGCACCACATAGAAGCACACCGCATCCTCCAGAATTTAAGGTGAACTACACTGATAAGTCCTACACTGTTAACACTGATCAGACCATTTAATCTGGAGAAGATTCAAACATTCTCTGCCTGAGATGTGGCTTAATTTTTACTGGTGCAGGAGTTCCATCTCGAAACAATGGCACGGGCTAGCCAGCATGCAGAGACATCTTCAGTAGTCTCGACGGGAATGCCTAAGGTTATAGAACTTTTGTCTTTCCTGTTGTCTCATTCAAAAGACACTTGAGTTCTGACTAACTGTGAAATCACTTGCTTTCTCATCTACAGCATAATGATTGGAGGCCTCATATCACTGAACCAAAGAGCCCTTTGCTTCAAACAATGCTGAGAGCTCGTCCTATTAAAGCAAAAACTTCTACTGAAATTGAGCAAGAGGAGCTCAAGGTGCCAAAATTTAGGGCAAGACCTTTGAATAAAAAGGTAATATATTCAAGTGGTTTAACATGTTACCTTTTATTTCAAGATCTTCATCCGTCTTTCTCTAATACGGAATTATCTCTGAACCATTCCAGATATTCGAAAGTAAAGGAGAGATGGGAATATTTTGCAACACTAAAAGACACGTAACCATACCTCAAGAGTTCCATTTCCTGACAGATGAAAGGATTTCACAGCATAACTCTGTTATAGATTTATTTGATAAGGTACTTTGACAAGTCCTAAAATTTCTGCATCTTTGAAATTGCAGTGTCTTAACATAACCATCTACTTGGCAGCTCTCTTTGAACTCTGAATCTTTCCGTGAACGGCCTCTACAAAGGAACACTGCACCAAAACCTTTCCTTCTGAGGACAGAAGTACGTAGACAACCCCTCTTCTTACTCTGAGAAGTAGCTACAACAAGGATTTTTTTGAAAGATGTCTGATATGATTAAATCCAGGAACGAGGTGCTGAAAAAGAGAAGAAGTTTGTGATAGAAGTCATACATAAACAGATAGAGTCTGAAAAGGCCAGAACTCCCAAGGCAACCCCATATCCCTACACAACCGACTATCCCGTGGTATGCACCCAAAGTTTCTTCTTTCAGTTTTAAACGCGGACAAGTCTGTGAAAGTGACAGATTGTTTCACTTTACAATTCAGTTCCCACCAAAACCAAAGCCTAAGCAATGCACAAAACCAGAACCGTTCAAGTTAGAGAGTGTTGCTAGACACGAAGAGGAAATGCGGAAAGAAACAGAGGAGAGGTTGAGAATGGAGAGAGAAGAAGCCCAAAGAAGAGTCTTCAGAGCACAGCCAGTGATTACAGAGTACGTAACTGTTCCTTTTGCTCTTTATCCGCAGAATTTCATTTCAGCACTGACTTTGTATAAATCTCACCTCTTCAGGGATCCTATTCCTCTTCCGGAGAAAGTACGAAAGCCTCTTACAGAAGTTCAAGAGTTCACTCTCCATGTGGACCATCGGACTGTCGAAAGAGCAGACTTTGACCATAAAGTAAGCTTTTATAAGCCGCTTCAGCAAAGTAGAAACAAGTTTTGCTGCACACTCTTGCCTTCGTAACTATAACTTGTTATATCCTCTTTGTCTTTGGTAAACAGATCAAAGAGAAGGAGATGATGTACAAGAGATACCGCGAAGAGACTGAAGCCGCAAGAATGGTATAGCAATAGCTGAATATTTACAGCCAAAATGTATCCAACATAGTTTAACGGTCTGAGCTGAAAATTTGTCAGGTGGAGGAAGAGAGAGCTCTAAAACAACTGAGAAGGACAATGGTTCCTCAAGCCAGACCGGTGCCAAATTTCAACAACCCATTTTTACCTCAGAAGTAAGTTGTAATCCAAGTCAGAGAGTTGGGTTTTTTTTCTTACCTTTTTTAGTCAAAAACTAAAAACTCCATACCCATTTAAACACAGGTCAAACAAGGAGACGACAAAACCAAAGTCACCGAAGCTTAAACTGACCAGAAGAAGCGAGAGAAGAACAATGATGGCTTCCTCTTCTTCTACTTACATGAGATAGCTTATAAGAAGTAAAAAGATTAAGTAAGCATCAGTAGAAACTACTGTTCAAGAACGCTTGAACCACAGCAATGTTCCTGTGTTAAAAAAAAAAGGATTTCCCTTAATAACTACTAGCTCATTAAATACTAAATATTGTTGTCTATAATAGGTAATTAAAGAAAAACGACTGTCACAAAATGTAAAACTCCATAGAGTTTATACCTACTTAAATAAAAAACCAACTGATACATAATCCTTGATCCGTCTTTATATATACGTTGTTGTTTTGCAGCACGTGCTTCAGACTCCAAGTTTCTTGTGCCTATAAGCTATGGTCTGAAAAGGAACAAACCAAATAAGGAATATGTTTCAGATAGTTGAATCATACTTTGGAATAAGAATAATGAACAGATATATATATATATAGAAACATATTATTTATTATCAAAGACGCTATACCAAATGTTGTTCATGGCTTGAATTGGAATCGGTTTTGAGCCTTGACAATGTTTCATCGTCTTCCAGACTTTGCATCTCATCTTTGGAGGCTGAAGCCACTACAGGAAGAGTCTCGATTGCCTTATTTTCTCCTCCTAATCCTCTTGTTACCAACAATTCAACCTCTTCAGTCTTCAAATGCGTCTGAAGTGCCACAAACTGTTCAAAAGACACACACGTATTTTAGCGTTTATGTGATTGTGAATCATCTTTTTTGAAGATATTTAGCATCTATACATGTTACAAACTTTCTATATGAAGTGAACCAGCAGACTAGTTACTTTATACAGTGAGAAGGCTGATGTTAAGAGAGTAAAAGGAATACTCACTTCACGGAGCTGCTTCACGAGCAAGGTGGGTCTGCATTGGAGATATGGCTGTGGTAAGTCTGGTACACATGTAGCATCCACTGAGACAAGCTTGAGATTAATGTCCTCCTGCAGAGAGATAAAGAGTAAATGTAACCAAACTCAAAGTTAACTGCAATCTGAAACACAGACCATCAAGATTCAAGAAGAAGAAGAATCATCTCTTTCTGTTCTTAGGTACCTCAACATTGTTTCCATCTATGGTGCTGCGTAGATATTCCACAAGTTTATTAACGCGAGCATTCCTCACACTCTTACTACTACCTCCCTGTGTATTATTCTCATGCCTTGGGTTACTCCTTGTAGCACTTCTTCCCCAAGCAAGCATCTCCGGATTCCACACAAGCCCCGAAGATAGTCCTTTGCTGCTGTCTCTATACGCTTCTGTGTCGTTATCTCCGCAGTTACCATTGTTGTTGTTGGCACCTGAAGAAGACGGGTGCTGTGTTGAACGACTTGCAGACCGTTTCCTACGTTTTCTCAGCCGGACTTCTGCACCATGCTCATCTGAAGACGAATCTCTGCCTCCTCCGTTGTTATTATCTTCATTATTATCATCGTCTTCATGGGCTTCAACATCGTTTTGTTCCATGTTTCTGCCGTTTCTTCTCCTCCTGGAGCCACTGCCACTACGCTGTGACCTCATTAAAACTGCAGCCTCCTTACCAAAAGATTTTCTTTTCACAAGAGCCTCTGATTGTCTTTGTGATATTTCAGCTATAGATGCTTGAATCTATACAAAAACCATATAGCTCCGGTAAAAGTTATAAAGGGTAAATAACAACATTCTCAACAGCACAAAGTTGCGATATGTATTCTGACCTGCTTATTACGAGCCTTGTCATCTTCGTGAAAAGCGAATTCCTGAAGAAGAAATGAAAAGCATTTAACAGCAACAATCTCTCAGAGTAATAGTAATAATGATGTGGGATCTTTTACCTCTTCCTCATAGCTATCAATATTTGTGAACAAAGCTGCAATAAGAGCATCAAACGTTGGATCGTCTCTAAGAGAACGTCGGCTTGCACAATGTTTCCTGCAGGCAGGGCATTCATTGTTCCTGCAATAGCAATATAAACTCAGAACAAAGATTATATAAAAAAGCCTACACCTATGGCGGCTTCCAAGAGAATGACGAACATGTAACTAGTTGAAGAAAAGAAACCGAACAAGTTGAAAACATACCCCAATCTCATAGACTTATCAATACATTCCCGGCAGAACCGGTGCAGGCATTCCATCACAGTCCTTGTTTTCTTTATAATTCCTGGAGAAAAAACAAGAAACTCCTATCAGCATAAGCCAAACTAATTTTCCTCAATAGGATAAACTTAAACATATTCTCTGCAAATCATAGTTGTATCTTTAGGACAATGTTTCATTCCCAACAACATCAAATGCATTTCTAGAAATATATATTGATGAAGAAAGGAAGTACCTAAGCAGATAGGACACTGAACATCTTTACGAATTTCCCCTAGATCAATTTCCATAAACCTGCATTTAAGTTGAGACATAATTAAACAACAAAGATGAAGAATCTGTCACAAGACAAAGTAAAAACTGATTTATAACTGGAACTTTGTAGATGCTACACAAACAGAAAATCAGAAGAAAAAAGAAAACGAAAGTTAAGTTGAATGGTGCTATCAAAACCAGTCTCCACAATGAATGCTATAAACCAAGCTAGAAACTTTTACGTTGTTCATCCATAAGAGCTGAAGATAATTTTAAGGAGTTAAGTGCGAAGACAGTAATTACAACATGCAAAAGCGTTAAGACGATGAATCATTAAATCACCCAGAAAAATTCTCAAATTTACTGGTTTTGAGACAACAAACACATCAAAGTAGAGACTGTTTGTTATATTTACAGAGCAAAAGAGAGAGAGTGAAGAAGATGAATCGTACTCTGATTTGTCTCCTCCTGATGGACTTTTCTCCTTAGAATCTGACAAAAAAAAAGAAGAAGCAGAGTTCGATCACATGAAACAAACAAACACACACACTCTCACGTATATATACACACACACAACAACAAGTAGAAGCCTTTACCTTCTTCTTCTTCCTCTTCCTCTTCTTCTTCCTCTTCCTCTTCTTCTTCTTCCTTCTCTTCTTCTTCTGCTTCTTCATCACCAACATCTCCCTTATCTTCCTCTTCTTCTTCTACAACTTTTTCCTCCGCTTCGTTGTCGCGTTTCACTTCTTCTTTTTCGTCCTTCTTCTCAACCGTCTCTTGACGTAGATCCTCAGTAGGTTCGTTCTCTACAGCTTCCGGGTCGGGTTGTTGTTGGTCTCCACGACGACCAGCATCCCCTTGCTCGTCGGGAATCTCAAAGCTATTCTCCAAAGGAGACGACTGTAAACGAGACAAATAAATGTCTCTCCGCCTCTCCATCTCCTTCTTCTCTTCCTCTCTATACATCGCTATTCTCCTATTCCTCTCCTTCTCTCTCATTCTCTTCTTCTTCTTCTGCTCTCTTTCTTTCTTTCTTCGGTGTTGTGCCGATATTATTATAGAAGAAGAGACGAAAGCCAAAGAGAGAATGAAATCAAACTAAAAAAAAGTTGGACGAGTAATTTAACCCCCTTTTGTTATTTTCTTCCTTTTTTTTTTACTTAATAAGAGTAATTATCGTATAGTCGAATTTCCTTCTTTTTTTTTGCATAATGCCATTTTTTGACATGCAATTTGAGTGTATATAATAATAAAGTTTGTATTGCTACATCTGGTTTAATTCGTTGGCAGGTTTATATAGATAATGTTTTTTAGTATAGTATGTTATCGGTGGTGCTGGGTGATCAAATTAAAACATGGACGGTCAAATTTCACTTTGACCTATAATACTGGAGGCTTAAAAGTAGGGAACAGCTTTCTAATTAATATGGGTCGTGGAGTTAAGCTAAAATAAATCACGCATTCACTGTACATTTCGGCCTTTTGTCTCGTTTATAGTAAACCCATTTTCTCAGCCCATTTTGTAGTGTTAACCGAAGAAAATCTTATGATAGTTGCTAATAAGAAATGTGTGATCAGTTCTTTTTCTGTTTACAAAACTAAAGAAAATATTAAAAGAGTCCCCTATATATTAAAGAAGAAATCACTTTACTGATTTCTGATGATGTGTCGCTCATACAGAAAGTTTCAAAAAAATTTTATAATTTCATTGGTTGAAATTTTTTGATTTTCTCGATTTTTTTTTAAACATTACCAATCATTAAAAGTAGAACATACTAATATACATTGTCAAACAGAGTTAAAACAAAGAGTTAACATTTACGATTTGTCTTTTTTCGCAACCTCTTCTCTCTTAAAAAAAAAATCGGCGACAAAATTCTAGACGAGAAAAAATGTCGGATTTTAGATACTCGATTTGATATCGCATAAGAGGATTTGTAGAGATCTGATGGAGAAGATCTAAATGAGAGAAGAGGAGAGAAGAGGAGAGAAGATGAGAGGGAGTCATGTCGGATTCTGATAAAGAGAACGAGAATCATATTTTGGAACATGGGGAAAAGCTTATTGATCCACCTTCTTCAATCGATGAGTTTCTTTCTCTCATTGACGTGAGCTCTCTTCACCAATCAAAATTCCCTTTTATAATTTTAATTTGATTTGGGGATTATGGTTTATGTGTGATAAGTTCATTTTCGTTTTAACAAAAATTAGAGAAAGAAAGGTTCTTGCTTTGCCGTACAACTGGCATGGAAGAGGCTGCTACCATTTTTTGTTAAAAAAAACTGTCAAATAAATACGAAAATTGATTCAAGTTAGTTTTTTCACTACAAATATTTCTATTTTGCGAATCCACTTGTCTCCACACTGCTATAAAGGATTACACGAATCTTGTTTGATATAATGTGGACATATTAATGGAAAAAAGACCTAAAGTGGCTTTTGTATTTGTATGCAGGTTCTTGTTGACTTGATAGAAACTTTTTTGGGGGTTATTTTCTTCGACTCTGAGTTCAATTTGAATCATGTCTGGAGAATAATGTTAACTTTTTTTAGATCCAATGAAAAACTTGTCTAACTTGCAGCTTAGTCCCGAGAAAGAAATTTTTGAATATTGTAGTTTTCAAGTGGGATCGGAAGATATCAACGACAAAGAAGGATGGTGCCATCTCTGTTGAATTAAAAGTGACCAAAGGTTCTTGCCTTACAGTTTTTGCAACTGGTCGGAACAAAAAAAGAGAGTACAAAAAAGCTGCATAGCTGATTCTACCTACAAGTATAATTCTTTTATCTTAGAATAAAAAAGATTAAATTTATTTATATAAGAATTGTTAAAGTATTTTGTTCTAATAATTCATTACCTACAAATATAATTCTTTTGATTTTACGTATTTGAATACTTGTTTCTCAAACTTGTGTATATACTTATTTAATTATATAATTTTTATATAAGAATTGTTAAACCATCTTAAATATACACAAATTAATATAATTTATTTATAGAAACAATTAAATATCATAGCTTACATATAATTAGATATAATACTACAGCAACAATTATAAAATGGGGTTTAATATATTTATATCAGTAATGACTACAATAAATCATAGATTTTTCAACAAAAAAAGATGGAGACGGCGACGGCGACAGAAAAAGAGGGTGATGGCAAATCTCCACGCTCAAGCCCCCGAAACCCTTGGAATACGGCGGCGCCGGATCCAGTGTATGCAGTGAAGAATGGAGTTGCTTCAATGGAGATTCCGGTGACTGTTTTCAAAGAGTCCGAGCCTCTCTGGAAAGCTTTTGTGGTGGGGTATTTCATAGGGGACGCACCTCATGTGGGATCGATTCACGCAACTGTTAACAGGATTTGGACAAGCCCAAGTTTCAAAGGGAAGATTGATGTGCAATTCATTGAGAAAAACACCGTTTTGTTCCGTATTGAAAATGAACAGCTCAGGGCCCGAGTGATAAAGAGGCGCTACTGGCATGTCTCTGATGTTCCTCTGGTCCTTCATGAGTGGTCGCCTGAGACCGCAGCTACCCCCCCAGATTTGTCAGCTATGCCCTTATGGGTGGATCTTAAGTCGGTGCCTGGTCACTTATTCTCGCGTGTTGGTCTGAAAGCTCTCTCGAAGCCGCTGGGTCACTTCGTAAAGCTTCACCCTCATACAGAAAAGTGTACCCGACTTGACATGGCTCGTGTGCTTATTGAAGTTGATTTGCAAAGCCCCTTGGTGGAAGCCATTGAGTTTGAGGATCAGGACGGTAGCAAGGTGAGAGTTGTTGTGCTGTATCCGTGGCTCCCGTTGCGATGCAGTATCTGTTCAAAATGGGGTCACAACCAGAAGAACTGTCAGTCAAAGGATGTGGTGATTTTGAGGAATGAGAAGGAACATGAAGAGGTAGTCGATGTTGACGAATCAGACAGAGTTAACCCCTCGGAAAATGCGAAGGAAGTTGTGGAGCACCTGCTTCAGGAGCTGGAAACATTCCCCTTAATGGTGAGAACAAGCGATGGGAACGCAGACGAAGAGACATCCCTGTTGGAGAGTGTTGCTCACGCTACAAACATAACAGGATCAGTGTTGGGGAAATCTGGAAATGATTCTGAAATTTCTTCTGGCTGGGAAACTGCAACAAAGACGTTCAGACCCTCATCTCCGTTGGAGAAACAGAAAGAAGACTCACCGGGTTCTGGAGCTGAATCACCAGGGACAGAGCAAGTGATAATATCCCCTTCACGTTTTCACCTTCTTTCGGTTGATGAAGACAGTGTGGCCGAGGGGACAGAGGAGAATGTGACAAAGTCCTGCAGTGTGTCAGATACAGGGGATGTTGATGGATTGGAAGAGGGAGAAATACAATCAGGGATGAAGAAGAAAGGTAAAAAGAATGGTTCCCAGGCCAAGATTACTAAAAAAGGAGTGATGTTGGGTAGATCCAAGGATTTGAGGACAGTGAACATGAAGGCGCAACACAAAAAGTCTTCCGTTAGGAAGATATGACGTCTTTTTTTGCTTGGAACATGCGTGGGTTCAACAAGCCGCGCAAACATTTGGTTGTTCGGAAGTGGGTTCAGATGGAGAAGCCTCTTTTTGGTTGTCTTATTGAAACAAGAGTACAAGAAAGCAAGTGTAAGGAAGTTGTGAAATCCGCCTTACCTGGCTGGAATACCATTACGAACTATGACTATCATCGGTTGGGTCGTATCTGGTTCTGCTGGGGACCCGGAGTGACAGTCACTTTGCTACATCGTAGTGCACAAATCATTACATGTGCCATCCAGATTCCTGGGACCGGAGATCAATTCATTTGCTCGGCTATTTATGGCTCGAATTTTACAACAGAAAGAAAATTATTATGGGATGATATAAGAGCTACGTTTCAGGCCTATAAACACCTAGCTCTACCTTGGATACTCATAGGTGATTACAATGCCACCCTCTCCTCTACTGAGCACTCTCGTATGCAGGACTACCTTGGAGACCAATCAGGAATGCTTCACTTCCAGGAGCTTACATCTGATTGTGCTCTCACTGACCTTTCTTCTATTGGTGCTCTGTTCACTTGGTGGAACAAAAGAGGGGCTGATCCTATTAGAAAGAAACTTGATCGGGCACTAGTAAATGGCGACTGGTTTCGGGTATATCCCCACTCCTATGCAAGATTTGAGCCAGGAGGTATCTCAGATCATGCTAGATGTTTGGTTCGGCTCAAACAGCCTCAACCGGGGAACCGAAAGCCTTTTAAGTTTTTCAACTACCTGACAGAGCAAGAGGGTTTTCTTTCTACTGTAAAGCAGAAATGGGATGAAGGAGGGGCCATCTTTCACTCTCGCACTGCGCTCAGTAAGTTCCATCAGAAGTTGAAAGCTTTAAAGCATACTTTGAGAGCCATGAACAGAAACCTCTATGGTGATCTTCGCAATCGAACGAAACAGTCTTTCGAGGAGCTTTGTATATGCCAAGCTCAGGCGTTAGCTGATCCCAGCACCGCCACTTTTAGAGCAGAAGAGGAAGATTCAAGAAAATGGCATAATTTAGCGCTTGTGGAAGAGAAGTTTCTTATGCAGAAATCTCGAATACAATGGCTAACGTTAGGAGATCAGAATACAACTTTTTACCACCATGCGGTACAAGACCATGCTGTTCGGAATAACATAAACGTGCTGTATACTGAGACCGGAGAGGTATTGACAGAACCTACAGCTATTAAAAAGGAAGCCGTTGATTACTTTCAGAAGCTGCTTCAGGCAGAACCTACTCGAAGTTCTTCAATATCAAATGATGCGCTGAGGTCTGTTTTAAACTACCGCTGCTCGCCACAGGATATATCCTCCCTGATCTCCCCCATCACACCAACAGAAATTTATCTAGCGCTCAAAGCCTTGCCAAACAGGAAAGCTCCCGGGCCAGACGGTTTTACAAAGGAATTTTTTATTGAGGCATGGGATGTTGTAGGTTCAGAGTTTGTTACAGTGATCCAATCTTTCTTTCTGTTTGGGTTCCTACCCACCGGAGTAAACTCAACAATCCTGGCTCTCATCCCAAAGAAGATACCAGCGCAAACCATGAAAGACTTCAGACCGATTTCTTGTTGTAACCTCATGTACAAGGTAATCTCGAAGATACTGGCGAACCGGCTTAAATTAATCCTTCCTGCCGCTATTGAGCCAAATCAGTGTGCCTTTGTGAAGGGCAGACTACTTCTGGAGAACGTCCTACTCGCCACGGAACTGGTTAATGGATATCATCGCCAAAGCATATCTGATCGAAGCACAATAAAGCTTGATATCTCCAAAGCTTTCGATACGGTGAAATGGGGATTCATCACATCTGTGCTCCACGCAATGGGATTTCCCAGTCAATTTATAAGCTGGATTTATCTCTGCATCTCCACAGCATCCTTCTCAGTTGCTGTAAATGGAGAGCTGGATGGTTTCTTTACAAGCGCTCGAGGGATCAGGCAGGGTTGCTCCCTCTCTCCCTACCTATATGTGATTGTAAGTAATGTTCTTTCTGGTCTGCTTAATCAAGCCGCAGTGGATGGGCATTTCGGTTACCACCCACAATGTCAACAGGTTCAACTTACCCATCTGAGCTTTGCCGATGACATCTTAGTTTTCACAGATGGAAGCGTAAGATCACTTGAAAAGGTTCTTGAGATAATGCATCAGTTTGCTGGTCTGTCAGGGCTTCACATCAACGTTTCCAAATCATCTATTTTTGCGGCTGGGCAGAATAAAGCTAGCTTACTTCAGGCTGCTGGCAATAAAGGTTTCTCGACAGGAACATTTCCCATACGGTACCTGGGCATGCCTCTTACAACTAAGGTATGGAGTAAACTGGATTATGAACCTCTTATTGATCAGATTCGTCAAAAGTTCATCTCCTGGACCCACCGCTCTTTATCCTTTGCTGGGCGCCTTCAGTTAATCAAGTCAGTTATTGCCAGCAAAGTAAATTTCTGGAGCTCAGCTTTCATCTTACCTCAAGGCTGTTTGGATACTATTGAGAGTATGTGCAGCGCCTTCTTATGGTCAGGATCACCAACGATTACTCATAAAACTAAAGTGGCTTGGAAAGATCTCTGCATTCCAAAGGACGAGGGAGGGCTCGGAATCAGGCGACTCGCTGACACCTCTCGTACCTTTGCTTTAAGTTTAATATGGAAGCTTTTCTCCTTGAATGGCTCTTACTGGGTTTCTTGGACACGAGAGTACTTGCTAAAGCACAGCTCTTATTGGGATGCAAATCAAAACAAAGGGTCTTGGGTTTGGAGAAAGCTTTTAAAACTCAGACCCATTGCTTACGAGTTTTTGCAGTTTGAGATTAATGATGGGAAAGCTGTCTTCTTTTGGTTCGATAACTGGCTCCAGTTGGGGAAGCTATTGGACATTACCGGAGAGCTAGGTTGTAGTTATTTGGGAGTGAGTAGAATGGCTACGCTAGCAGAAGCGACTAGCAGCAATGGCTGGAACATAAGTCGCTGCGGTAGAAGGAGATACCCAAATTTGTGCGACAAAGTTGATGCCGCTCCTTTACCTGAGGCTAGTGCGGGTCCTGACAAAGCTCTCTGGCGACATGATCAGGATGTTTTCAAGCCATCGTTCTCAGCTGCTCAGACATGGAACTATCTCAGAGAGGCGAAGGATAAAGTTCCATAGTACCGTCTTGTTTGGTTCTCACAGGCGATTCCTAGACAATCGTTTATGGTCTGGCTCGCCATGAAGGATCGTCTGTCCACTGGCGTGAGAATGAGAGGTTGGGGTATAGAGCAAGGCTGTGTTTTCTGTGGCGAAAGAGATGAGAGCCGTGATCATTTATTCTTTGCCTGTCCCTACACTTTCACTGTTTGGATGAGCGTTGCTGAAGGGTTACTTGGCTCTGCAGTAACTCCTGACTGGGATGACACTTTGGTTTCTATACTTCACTCTAACCGAAGCAAAATGGATACTATTCTTTTGAAGCTAGCATTCCAGACATCTCTTTACATACTTTGGAAGGAGAGGAATTCAAGGAGGCATGGAGGGCTGTGTGCATCTGTGGCAGTGACGAGTAAGGCTATTGGGAAGGTAATCAAAAACCGCATCTCTTCGCTCAAGTACAGGGGAAACCACAAGCTTGAGGGATTGCTTCGGAGATGGTTTGTAGTTCATCCACACTAGAGTTTTCTTATTCTTTTATTCTTTGCAACAAACAGTATATAAATAGCTTGTAAAGGTTTTTATCTTGATCAATAAATTTGATATTTCATCAAAAAAAAAAAAAAATCATAGATTTCATAAACTTAATTAAGCTAAACATAATTATATTAATTAAACCCACTTATTCACTATATATAATATTAATGATTGTTATTCAAAATTATAAAATTATATTACTATATAAGTTAATTGTTTTTGAATTTAGTAGTTATTTATTTAATCATATCTAATTAATAAAAATAACCAAATAACACAAGTAATATTACAAATAATGATTTATGGTAACTAATTTTATAGTTATAAGACGAATATATATATAAATTATCAATTTCTTTATATTTATCATTTATTTATATAGAATTAAATAAAATAATTTAAACTTTTTTATAAATAAATTTAATAGTTATAAATTTTTACATAAGAGAATTAGATTTGTAGGTAATGAACTATTAGAACTTTTATGTTTTTAAATCCCGCACAAAAATGTTAAAGAAAGATCTTCATGATAAAAGTCTCCAGTTATATTGGTCATATTGAAGCTACACAAAAAAAATATTTTTTTTTCTCTTTTGAAAGCTATAGTATTTCTGGTTTTCACGTGTTAAAATAAAATATAAAATCATTCTACAAGAAATTGTCTGAATTAATTATAATATTGGTTTTCTGTAGGATAAAGATTTTTAATGACTAAGGATGTTATTGATTTCTTTTTAAATCTCATAGGTCTTTTAAAAATATATACTGAATTTTTTGATTATCTAACTACTTGAAGTTAAAAATTAAATTTAATATTTCTAATTATTTTTCAAAAATTATAACAGTATAAACATAATATATTTTTCATCATATAATATAGTTACCCGCAAAGTTATGGGCAAATACCTAGAATATGAATATAATATAAAATGTACAATTAGAACTGAACACTATAAAAACATAAATATAATATTTCACTTAAAATGTACAATTACATCATTCATAAAACACAACTTTGATAATATAAAATATTTTTTTTGTCAACCTAATAGATGAATTTTTTTTTTTGTCAACTTTTCCTAATAGATGAATTTAGATTCTTAAAAGTTAATTTTTGTAGAAAAAACAAATATGTATATTTTTATTTTTTTAAAAAAAAAAAGAGAGATAGTAAAAACAACAAAAGTAGGGCCCATATTGGTGAAAGGAAGAGGAAGAAGGAAAAAACATATTCTAGTTTAGTTGTCTAATCAGCCCAAACTGAAACTGTACTTGTATCCAAACATGGTTTAAAATTTGGACCAGTAAAATTAGGGTTTCTTCCCTGTCTTGTATAAATAACATATTCTGGTCCATCGCTAATTCAAATACTCCGATTATGTATTCTCGTTTCTCAACTCATGTGTTCCCTTTTTATCATGTAACTGTGTTTTAGTCAATTTTGGCTGAAGAATGTGATGAAAGTTGTCGATGTGTGATGATTCTTTGACTCAATTGATCCATAAAATCCAACTCGCTACGTTCTTTCTGATTCTTCTTCAATCCTTTTTTTATATTTGTTTTCAATCCAGTTTCCATAAATTTCCTGTCTGTTTATGAATCCTGGCTTCAAAAAGTCGTTCAGATTTCTAAAAAACATTTAAATTTGTGAAAAGATGAGATCTTGGAGTAATATGATGATAATAATCAGAAAATATCTTAGGACACCTTCTGACACAGTTTCTGTGTATGAGAATGATTTGTTATTCTGATACTCCAATTGATTTTTTTCACATCTTTTCTTGTTATTTGGTAAGTCCAATTAATCCTAAAAGGCCATAGATGATAGAACCTGAATGAAAGTTTGTAACTTGTAACGAATACAATATATAAACTTTCTTTTAAAAACATGTGTGTATGTACACATCTCTATAATATTAAAGACTCTACATACATGTATGGACACATAGATAAAACTCTGATGAGTTTGTATAAATGTTATACACAACTATTTAATCACAGAGCTGAGATTTTTTTATAAAACCCTTTTACACACTTTACAAAATCTAAGAACCTGACAAAAGCTCATCAGACTCTTTTTGATACAACAAGACTCAAACTGGTTCTCTGTTTTTGTCCTTCCCCGGTAAACTACACAAATCATTTGAGACACATGATTCAGTTTCTGGATTGTTTTGCCTTCTGTCTGGTGAATTCCTGGATCTGCCGGTCATGTTCTTCCAGCATTTCATCCACTTTACTTGGCTGAGCCAGCAATGGACCCGACATGTACATTTTGTTATCCGTAGAGTCATACTGTTATGCATATCAAAGAAAGACATATATAAACCACAATCTAAAGAAGTAAAATACAGTTTCTTGTTGTCTGCAAATGAAACAAGAATCTCTGAGATTTACTTACCCAAGACGGGTCATTTGGGACTTTCATTTGCCTCTTATTACTATCCATTGTGTCAGTTCTGTTGAATGCTCTCAAATTCTTCTTTTGCTGATCCATGATTTGTTGATCTCTGCTAATTGTGTCTACACGTGAAACGCTTTGTCCTCCCGAGTTACTTCTGCTTGAAGGTATTCTAGGGGCTGCATTGCCCTTCACGTATGTGAACCGACCTTGATTCCTGTTGTTCATCATAGGACCTGAGTAAGAGACTCTCCCACTTGTGGCATTGTTGCTAGTCATGTCCTTTGTGATATGCATTTGTCTTGTTGAATGACCCGGAACACATGTTCTCAGATAAGGATTCTGTATTGGGACAACAAGATTTTATGTTTGTTTAGTTAATATACTGATAGATCAGATGCAACAAACAAACCATATCAAGACTCTCTGTTACCTCCATAGCCGCTGTGAGTGATGGATTAGCTCTTACAGGCGGTATAAGTTTCCTTTCATGTGATCTTCTAGTCTGAGAGTCTTGCTTCTCATGTGCATGTCGTTGTTGCCTCTTTGCTTCATCGCGGAGTTTAGCATCAATCTCTTTACTGGGAGGATACTTTGGTAAAGAAGATGGATCACAAGCAAACGGCTCTGTTCTAAAGTACTGCTCCACAATAACACTTATGTGTTACCAAAATCACAATACACTTTAATGATGACAAAAAAAAGTAACATAAAAAAAGTGAAAGCAAGCACCTCACTCTCAAGAGCTAAATCTGCAGAGCCTCTCATATCAGGATCTATAGAGAGTAAAGCCTCCAAAAGCGAAACAACATTCGTAGGCAAGTCCTTAAACATCTCTGCTACACGTCTCCCATAAGGAAGCGCAGGTCTAAACGCAGCAGAAGGTGGGAGCTTAAGTTTCCTCCAGTAATCTTCTGTTGGTGAACCACACAGCTTGAAGATTTTATGCAGTTGCTCCACCTTAGCAAAAAACATTATATTATACAAAAGCTCATTAACAAGAAGATGGATTAAAGATTGTATATGTTACCTCAGTTTTCCCTGGGAGGATCGGTTTCCCTGAATACAACTCTCCTAAGATGCACCCTGCACTCCACAAATCAACACCAACACCATAATGAGAAGCTCCAAGAAGAAGCTCTGGTGGTCTATACCAAAGAGTGACAACACGGCTAGTCAATGGAGCAGGGTTCCCCGGGTCGAAAAACGTCGCTAACCCGAAATCCGCAATCTTCAAGACTCCATTACTATCAATCAGTAGATTTGATCCTTTTATATCACGGTGCAGAACACCATGACTGTGACAATGATGAAGCCCACTTAGAAGCTGTTTCATGTAACACTTAACCTGAGCCTCGGAGAATTTGATACCGGGTATGGAAGCAAGTCCAACGAGATCATGATCCATATACTCAAAAACTAAGTAAAGAGAAGATGAAACAGAGGCAGTGATCAAGCCTTCTAACTTAAGTACATTGGGATGATCAAGCTTTCTCATTACAACAATCTCTCTAGCCATAAACTTAAGACTCTCTAAATCGCTTAGATCAAACCGAACTCTTTTAAGAGCAACGATCTTGTTGTTGATAAGATCACGAGCTTTGTATACACTGCTGTAAGTACCTTGACCAATCTGCACAAACAAAACAAAAGAATGAGAATCATTATAATAATCTGTTATAAAAAAATAACAGAAAGATGCTTTTTAGTTACTTTGTCAAGTTTCTCAAAGGAACTAGCACGTCGTGGAGTCCAACCAACAAGGGCTTCACCAGCTACTGAGACTAGCCAAGCAGGCCACCCTGGAGAAGCCGCCACGTGTGCTTCCTCCTTTGGCATAGGATGTGGAGTAGTACTATCTTCCTCTTCTTCATCATCATCATCGTCATCTGTATCACCAATCTCTGGAATCTCTGGATGTTTCTCAGAACTGAGCTTTTCAGATTCGACCAATTGCAATTTAGCGTCTCTTTCTTGTTGGTCATCTTTGCTCTGTTGGCTCGAATCTTGGATTCTCCAAGAATTGATCCTGGAAGAACGTTTCTCCCATGATTCTTTCAGTTGTGGAAGATGATGATGTTTGGTCTTTGGAGACTTGTTCTTGGAGATTATGCAACCCATGAGGTTTCTTGAAAACAGAGAATTACAACTTCATCGGCTCAAACACAAAAGCAGTCAACAACACACACAGTACAATCACAGAGCAAAGAAACAAGAATCTGATGATCAAACTCAATCCAAAGAAGCAGAAGGAAACAGACTTTGATGATTAAAAGAGAAATAAAAAAAACTCAAGAAACAGAGGTTGGAGAAATTCAGAGAAGACTTTGTGGGGGGGAATAGAGAGAGATGGCTAAGATTGTGATTTTTTCTTTGGTTTCAGATTGGTATCATTTGACCGAAGGAACACTGCATCGACACAGAAAGAAAAAGATGTATTTAAATAATGTAATAATACATATGTATTCAAATACCTATGATTGCTCTGTATCTATGTATTTTTATTTATGCAAACAGCTAACACAAGCCGTCTCCCGTCAACGGAGAGAGGGAGAGAATTTGTTTTTTCTCTTACTTTATTTTTTTTATTTAGTAATTATATATTACATTTTTTCTTTTATGGATATGACTCAAACATTGTTCCGAAACTCGTTAGGCGCTATGCGTGCGCTCAGGTTAGACCTAGCGCCTAATGAGAAATCGACGATTAGTTTTAGGTGTGTTTTTAATTTTCAAAGAGATATATATATATATATATATATATAAGAATTGGTTTGTGTATAAAAACTAACATGCTAACATGGTTTAGTGGTAAGTGTGTCGTTATAGTCTGTTGAGGTAGGTGGTTCGAAGGTCCCTGGCTGCATTATGACGCTTTTCTATATAAAAAATTAGGGTTAATGAACATAAATTAATGAATTGCCCTCATCTTCAATGTTAGACCTGCAATTCTCTCAACTTTTTTTGAGATTTCTTTATTTTTTCAATTGTTCTACTTAATCTTGTTCGTTTTGACCTAAGTATGTCATATTCTTATTACAAATCATGATTTTCAACTTGAAATCGACAAAAAGATGAAATTTTAATCCTTGACCGATTAACCAACCAAATAAGGCTATATCGCCACGGTGATAGGCCGAATTACGTTTTCTCGGCGAGTAATCGGACGCGGAGAGCGCGTTTTTTAACAAGGGACTCAAATAGCCAAATTGTTTTATTGACCTTTATTCATAGTTTAATTGATTTCTAAATTTTACTCATTTTATTTACTTGTAACAATAAAAATATGAATATAAATGTATTTCAAAAACAATTCTTAATAAAATGTAAAGAAAGAAATATTTCATATGTTACTCTTATTTATATCAATGATTCAAAAATGTGAACAAAAACAGCTGTGATTTTTTAATGGTGCATTCCTAGCCAAGCAAGCATGAATATTAAAGGCTCGCTACTTTAAAGACACATATATTCTAGATGCAATATACAACGAGTGAACAGTCTTTTGGTTGGAGTTCTATTGTAACTGGTTTACAACTAAAGAAAGGGAAACAGTATATTATTGGTATCGGCTAAAATATTTATGTCTACAAAGACTACTGGTAACTTAAGATCTACCCGACCGGCATTGCCAAAAGAAAATACCATTCAAGATGAAGGTCTACGTGTTGTTAACTACATAATACTCTCAACTACGGATACACAACAATGGAACCAGGACTAAACACTTTTTATACAAGCGTAGAACGAATTGAAAATATTTACCTACCGTAAAGTATTAAAAAAAGATCGGTAGTTTGGACCACACTAAATCTAGTGTGGGTATACGGTTAAAACTGGGGATGGCCTTTGGTAAACTCCCCAATAATGATCAAAGACAATCATACGGTGATCCGGCTCTCAAGCACAAGATTTGGCAACTGGATTTAATACCATAAAACACTTCATGTGGCGGCGCATATGGCCATGGGCAATTGGTGCATCAACAAGATTAAACAGTAGGGGAGTAATCATGGGTGA